CAAAGCATCCTACTAATTGGACATTAAATTATACTTTTTCTAAGAAATTTTATGAATAACCCGCTAGAAAAGCGGAAATTTCTTAGCATCGCATCAATGATAGCGAATGAATTTCTCAGTAAACCTAGTCTCTCACATTCATTTTTTTTGACGAACTGGGAAAGCAATAAAGTGTAAAATGCGCAATTTCTCACAAATTTTGAAATGTCACGTTCCGCTCGGTGAAGCAGATACTCGAACCTTTTTTCACCATAAAAAAATGGAACGGACAAAAACTCTTGTGATCAAAAGTATCACGTTCACTCCGCTAAATTTACATAAATTTTTGGGATAAGCTGAAAGTGAAAGCGCAGGGATTTGTCTCTTAGGACGACAGTGATTATGCGGTATTAATATAGGTTCGTAAGATGTAAGAAATATGTGTCTGTTAGCTGTAAGTAATCGTTTTTTATTGGCAAAAAGGTAAATCCAAGGAGGTTACTTACTCTAAGAGATATCTTCCTGTTTTTGCTGATCAAACTGTTTGTTTGCGTCATTTTGCACTTTGAGATTTGCTTAGCCTTGAAAGAACCTGTACTCCATTCTATCTTTTTTATAATCACAAATATACAAAAAGAAGTAAGATGAAGACTAAGAAGATGGCTTTCAAGAAAAGCTTTAGAGAATGCTAGAGTAACTCTTTTATAACTACTAGGAATCAAGACCAATTAACTCCTTTGATGTTCGACGTCAATATGTAACATCCGTTTCTATTATAGATTGAAAAGATAAAAATTTATTTTTGCAATATGCAATATCTCAGGACATAGACAACCCGAGTTTAATTAACAAATACTTAATAATTACTGGAACAGCATTTCTGACTAGATCACCGTATATGGATCAATGATAGCTTTTCTTTACTGTCTTCTACTTACGAAATTTCTTTAAATGAGTCAACTAATGGTTTTTTTAAATACGAACACACAACGAATAGTCAATAGTCTTTTTTCAATTATAGAATAAAAACTTATTGCATAACCTTGAGACGTTTAGCGAAGAAGCGTCAAGAATTCGACCGTTCCGAAAATTTGTCGACGTTCCGTTCGCGTCGTGGTCGGATGGACGATTTCCGTTCACCGTTCGACATTTTCCGCGAATTTTTCGGGAATCGCGACCCATTCGAGGTATGTTTGCATTTCCTCATCTTACCTCAATATTTCCCATAATAGAAAATCGTAAAGCGCCTTGTCGTAGTGTCGATTTGATAATGTGCTGAACAATCGTTAAGCGGTGTTTTGTCGAATTATGTTCCAGTTTCGCTACACATCGCTAACCATGTTAGCGTGTAATGTGTGCGCATATTTTGTTTGTTTTGTCCGAAAAATGAATGCAGCATGTTGATTGTTCCATTATATCGGCTATATAATCAAATACATTATTGGAATACATCGCAGCTATAGCAAGCAATATTTGGGAACTGGCTAAAAGCGTTTAATACAGTGTGTGACAATATTCCATTATCTCTCTACTTACTTGCTTATTGACAATAGTTATGTTGGAGAAAAAATCATTTTCTTTCCCAGTTTCTGCGACATTTCCAAATTCTCTAGCATCAATCGTTTTACAATTTTGCATCTGTTTGGTCGCCTTATTTTTTTTCCAATGTTTCGTAGTAGCGATGTCAAGAGTGATTTCTAATCTTTAGAAAGATAAATTTCAAAATAAAGGAATTATTATTTTTACAACTAAAATAAGCACGGAACATCACCCTTTTGATTTTCGCTGCGATAGGTGATTAAGAAACCTCACTTTTTTTCTTTTGATCACTTTTCAAGAGGAGAGTTACAAATTTTGCTTTTCAGGATTTGTCAAAGGAGAGTTACAAAATTTGCTTTTCAGGACATCTTCTTCGACGATTCGTTCGCTTTCCCATCAGATTCGTTTATCTTCAAAAGTGGGTCT